TCCTGCAACCCTCTGCCAATGAAAATGGAGCTTGGGAGCCTGCTGGCTGGTCCATCACTGTTTCCAGGGCAGCCCCATGGGCTGGATCTGGCTCCCGGGCCTTGAGTTTGACACTCCTGTTCTACACCTATTGATAGAGTCTTGCCAAACTATTATGTACATCAAGCAAATACTACAAGAACTATTAGGGTGAGGCTGTCTTCATCCTCTTTCTCTCACACAAAATATTTAAACTGAACTGCTTTTTATTTTTCTGGAATGTACCCACTCCCTCCTGGGAATCCAACCTATTACATTCCATTGCAGACTGTGAGTTTTATATATTTATTACATTTTTATGTTGCCTTTCTCCCCTATAAGATTGCCCAACTGTGAGCAGCATAAAATTTCTTCAGAAATGTGTGTATGCTTGGAGAGTGTTAAGTATAGAACCTCTTTTCCTCCTTTTTTATTTGCTGTATGATTTTGAATAAAGAAGATCATTCAATTTCTGTGTTCTAATCATGACTCTTACTTTTCTGTGATAACTATCAGGTCAAAACACTTTTCTGTGTTAGGGTGATTCTTTGTTAGCTGCCCATATTTGGTTCACAAACAATGGAGAATGTTACAGTTAATTTGTCACTCTATTGCTACTATCATATATTTGGAATTTCTAAGAATGTTTTTATTTTGTTTTGTACCTCTATTAATGGGGAAATCAGGAGATTTGGGCAGTTAAAAGAGTAAAGATTTCTTGCAAACTTAAACTCACTACAGTGATCTGAGCTACTAATGGTCAAGGGAAATTAGCAGGAGTTAAACGTATTCAAGGTGGGATGGACTTAGATCTTTTGTGGGCTTGCAGGACTCATGACTTATGATATGTTTGACCCCTCAGCCTAGTCATCTCCTACAATTATATCATACAGCTATGTCCTTTATACTTAGCAGTTTCTTTACACCTGGTTTGGGCATCTATTTCTCCCTTCCTTCTGGTTTAGTTTCCTCTTAGAAAATTGTTTTCTTCTCTTGTGAAGTGCACTGTTTTTCCCCCAGAAATCCAAATCTTTGTGTGTACCATTTTGGTAGCCAATGATTTATCTTCTGCTTTCCTTTCTTGTCTATTGATCATCAATGAAAGAATAGATGACTTGGGTTCCTGTAGAGTTGTAATTGCAGGAATGTTCCAATCTCAGATGGCAAACCTCAGATAAAGAATGTTTCCAAGCAAATACAACTCAGGCAAACAAAGTCACTGATCTATGGATAAAGGAGGATTAGAGAGGGGAAGTAGACATACATTAGACTTTAACTAGAGATAATTAATTGTATGGATTACTGTACTAAACAGTAACGAAAGTTAAGCAGTAACCAAAGTTAACCAATGATGGAGGATAACTAAAAATGTATATAAATGCAAGACTATACTCCAATAAAGATCATCATCATAATTCAGTTGTTCATGATCAAACAACTCAACATTACAACAGGTTCCTATTCAACTTCCTACCAAGGGAATCCTCTTCTAGCAATTTTGTCTGTGCTCACAAGAATAATTAGAAGTAAATAGTGATTGTTCAGTTTCATGAGCCTTGATGATCTGGAGATTTGCATCAAGAAGATGGCATACTTTTTATTATATTTTTTAAATTCATGCATGGCAGCTCCTGGTAATCAAAACAGGCTTTCAAATCAATTATTTTTTCTTCTTCTGAGAAGTGCTTCATTGATTCCTCTAGAGAAAAAGTCTTTTCCATTATTCTAGAGATTTTGGAATAATATAACCACCTTGGATGGTTGAAATTTGCCTTCTATGTTCAGAACTTCAAATTGGTTACCTCTAGATAACAGTTCCAGTTCCTGTTACAGGACTGCTTACTAGTTGTGTACTCTTGCTTGACATATATTTCCAAATACTACTTCTGTTGTGGTATATTTGTCATATCTGGTATCCTTCTGCTTCTTGTGCATATGGGCAAATTTTTCCTTGGATCCTTTTTTCTCTTGGTGTTCATGTAGACCTCTCTGTATAATGCATGTGTGCTTCTCATCCTCCCTGGTGATTTTTAAAAAAGAAAAGTTTGCCTCCAGTTTTTTTTACCTTCTGCAATCAGGAGTCAAAGTTTTACTCACAGTAGGCTTAATTAGTATACTTTTTACTTGTTTCCCCCTTATTTATGCACTCCTTATTCAATGTTATGGATACAACACAGAGGTAGCTTAAATATTTTACAGGGGTTACTAATTAGTTAAGAGTTGTCATATGAAATGCTGAATGAACAGGTCACACTTGTTTTGAACTGGGTTAAAGCAGTATAATGTCAAATAATCTGGAGCAAGCAGTGTAATGTCAAATAATCTGGAGCTAATCTGGAGCAAAGTCCTTTCAAGTCTTTGGTTTTGCTTGTAGATGCAGCACCCAATCTCTTGTTAAGGGTGCTTCAAGCTTTTCTTCCTCTATACAGGCGGAGCAGGAAAAATGTGAGCTTTTGACTTAACTGCAATACATGTGACAATTTGACAACTAAATTTCAGAAACATGACCAAATCAGCTACGTAATATCTCTGGAGTAGTTATTGATTTGTTCGTCTTGTGTTAAGGATACAATAGTGAGGATGTGCATTGGGCTCACACAGAGCATAAGTGTGCTTACTGCACCTGTCTACACCTTCTTGAAGTAGCTGTGCCATTTCCTGTGCTCTGATGGTATTTGCAGGGTCCCAGAAAATATGAATTTGAATTGTGATGTTAAAAGAGGCAGCAACAGATGACCTCCTTCATCAAAGATATGTTAATACAATTCTGCACATGTGAATACTAGAACAGATGTTCCTTCTTTAAGGAAGCACTAATGGGGATAGTGATTATGGCACTGGTATCTTACGCAATTCTTATAGAACAAAGGCTTGTCCATCCAAGGAATCAGGTGCCTACAAGTGAAGACGAGAGTTGGCATCCTTAACTTTAAAGAAGAATACAGGATATAATAATAATGGAATGTTGAGAAGAATGAGTGGAGCATAGACATCTATTGATACAAACTCCCAAAGGAAAAACTGGTAATAGTATTTGGAATAACTACAAGCTGAATTTGAGTCAATAAGATGATTCAGCTGTAAGAAAGGCAAATATTAACTTTTTTCAACAGAATTGTTCCACTTGATTATTCAAATTACATCTTAAGTATAGCACTGGGCAGAGAAATTGGAACTGGTTCACAGAAGAGCAACAAGGATGATCAGAGGATTTAGAAACCAAGTTGTATGAAGATATTTTGAAGGAGCTGGATGGGTTTAACCTTGAAAAGTGACCAAGAGCGCTCTTCAAATGATATTGCACAGGAGGAGGTCAATATTTGCTTCCTGTAGTTTCAGAATGTAGGACACAAGGTGATTCCAACTGATTGTCATAAAAATATTCCTTAACAATAAGAGCACTTTAGCAGTGGAGCTGTATAATCGGAGAGGGAATAACAATTTCATTCACTGGATATGTTCAATAGGAGGATGGAAAGTTAACTTTCAGGGATGCTTTAATTTGGATCCAGAATTAATGGGGACTTAATGGCCTAAACGGTCCTTTCCACCTCTATGATATAATACTAAAGTTTAAATATAGGTGCAAAATGAGGATGACAAGCATTAACACACACACACACTGTAATGTATTTTACATTAGATGACAAGCATTAACACAAACACACTGTAATGTATTTTACACACACACACACACACACGCACACATGCACACACACAGAGGTAGATCTCAACTTGCAACAGTTCATTTAGTGACCATTCAAAGTTACAACGGCACTGGACTTATGACCATTTTTCACATGACCATTGCAGCATCCCCATGGTCATGTGATCAAAATTCAGATGATTGGTAACTGACTCATGTTTATGACAGTTGCTGGGTCCTGGGATTCTGTGATCACCTTTTATGGAGCAAAAGTCAATTGGAAAACCAAATTCACTTAACAACTTTGTTACTAAATTAACAATTGTAATGATTCACTTAACAACAGTGGCAAGAACAGTCGTAAAATGGGGCAAAACTCACTTAACAAGTGTTTCACTTAGCAACATAAATTTTTGGTTCAATTTTGGCCGTAAGTTGAAGACTACCGTACTTTATGGGCACCCTGGTGCTCTAAAGCTGCATGCTGAGAATTATCAGTTCATTTTTCAAGCAAAATAACATTTCCACACTTGAACAAGGATTATCAGGAAGGTTGGGGGGAAAATTAGGGAGCACAGAACAATCATTTTTAAAAACAGGTCGAGGAATCACTCCACAAGGATTTAATACTGATACCCTGTAATACTGAATACAGAGGTGGAAAATTCAAACCTTAAGAGATGGGAAAGTGGAGCATTATGGAGCAGGCCTCAAAGTGGCTAGATCCTTAACAAGTGTACTGTGTACTGCAAGAAAGATCTTTGTCAAGATTTACAAATCTGGGAAAGTTAAAAAAAATTAAAACAATATTATACAGAAAAACTCAGTTCACAGCAATTAAAAGTTCATCAAGTTAATTTTTATTGTGCTGCCAAGAGCCAAATTACAAGAAACCATCTTACATTTTAAAAAGTAAACAAGCAACCTGCCAAATTGCAGCGCACTCTAAGTGCCATAATATGCATCTATGTTATTTTTCAGAAAATTGTATCTGCATTTCTCTTACAAGAGCACATCAGGAACCAAAGTAAAAGAGTGTAATGAATACAGCACATAGGATAAATAATATCTTTAAAATAATAATAAAATAATAACAAAACAAAAAAACATTTTACACCATGTCCTATATCCTGCAAGTATCATTCAGAATATGGCCTTGATTGTAAAACGAAGCAAGCATTTACAATTTTCCGATAATGACTGTTTACTCTTTATGAAAGGAATGAATGAATGACCGTGACAGAATCTGAATAATGGGAGAGTAATGTTTGTTTCAGTGCCTTTATACTAAGGATAAAATGCTGTGGTGGGGGCAGAGGGGCTACATTTTTTTTTATTCTTTTGGAAACTGAATTCATAACAGAAAAAAAACACTGAGCCTTTATGATACACCTTTTCTCTTTGACACAAACAGCTAGAACACTTTGTGATAGTCTAAAACAAGATATTTGATAATCTTCAGATTAATAAATTAGGTCATATAATAAATTAGGTTTTTCAGTTTTAAAGTTCAGTAATCTCTGACCAAGTATTTACAACAATACTTGAGAGTTCCTTTACAAAAAATACATTTTCTTTTCACATTAAACATATTGGGTATCTGTGTCTCAGGACAAGCAATTGTGAAAGTAAGAGGCAACACACAACTGGGCAGTTAGTATAAAAGTGCCAAGACCTGTTTGGAAAAGTTAAAGTTGTGTGTACAGTTAAAGTTACAAGTCAAGCTGCAACAAACCTTCAGTGAGTTGTGGACTTTATTTTAATAGCTGCTTCAAACAACTATTATGAAATAAGTCCAAATGCAGATACTGCTATTCTGTGGAATTGAGGAGTGCTGCCTATACATTATCAGTGTCTCTAGCCAATGCATTGAGTTTTAAGCCTTTTTAAGGCCATGCAGGATAAAAAAAACAAACGCACACACACACCCTGAAATGTAGCAAGTAGCGATACTAATGCTTACTGCTAAAATTGTGCACACACTGGATATGTATGCAAACACAAGGGCACGCGCACACACCCACACTCATTTGCATCCTAACACTTCCAAATCAAATAAAACTAGATAAAATGAGATAACCTCATCTTGTCTTTCTAAACACGCAAAGTTAAGTAATAATATGGAATGCCTGTGTTTTTGTTCTGGGTAAAATCTCAGTTAAAAATACATTCAACAGGGAAAATACAAAATTATACTGATTATATACTGTATATATAAATAGCATATATATACTGTATATATACATATATACATATATAGTAGGAGTATATGTGTATTTTATATGTATATATTCATACACATATACATATGTGTATGTATATATAAAATACTATACACAAACACTTAAACACGCAGAGACACACAAATGCTTTTTTTAAGCATAACGATATTTACATGGATATTTCTATAAAGCTAAAGTTTTAAAGAAGCATGATCTTTCTTTCTGAGCTTCCAAAAAGGTGCTTGAGTAATATACATTAAGCAGCTTCCTAGCATGAAAGTTGCTTCTAGTCTGCATAATCAGTAACAGAACCCCCCCCTCCACTTTTAACATGATACAAAAATGAATCTGAGCTAGATCTTCATCCAACAAGATCATTTTCTTCAAAGATAATTTGGTGCGTGAACCTCCTGAAACTGATAGACAGTAAAAGAAACACATACATGCGCGCACACACACCCAAACAGAGTTCTGGAATCAAACGGTGTTCAACTTTTCCTCTTCCCCCTTCAATACTGTTGCCAAAAGATCCAGTGCTCTTCTCAGGAATTATACATTTGCTAACTGCCAGTCTGGTCAATTAGCATCAAAAAGAAAAAGCAGCACAATGCATAATTGTACTTATTTTCCACAAATTTGCCCTTTTTGTTTTCATGTTTTCCTTACTGCATCATTCATTTACTATTGCAGCTTCTGATCAGATAGAAAAATACAGCTGCAGCTATCCTGCACCTGTTGTGCAATAGTTTATCCTACAGATTTACTTTTTGCAGCATAAGCACCCCAAGTGTTCTGATTTGAATTGTGTTAGGGTTCTGCTTATACTTCACTGCAATAAATGCAATTCGGAGTGTCAGTAAAAAGCGATATTCTTTGACTCCAAGCTAAGCTGACCAGCTATTTTCTTTGAAGCTTCTTGTTCTAACCACACAAGCTCACCCCAGTTTTCTCTTCCCAAACAATCATGATTACTATGTTACAAGCAAAACATCAACAAATTTTAAAACTTTGGTTCCAGAAAAACACTTGGTCAGAAGTGGGAATGCTTGTTCTGGCCCACTGCAGGAATCAGAGTAAATCCCAACAAGGTCTTAGAGCTGTACATGAAGTCACAAATCCAATACAATCCACTAAGCAAGTGCATGATTCTAGTTTTATTTGAATAGCAGACTCAGCCTTTGTTTCTTCTTAACTTCTTGGTAAGAGATGCAGTTTCTCACACTGTCTGATAAAAATTATCTGCTTGTAAGTTACTCTGTTTTTGCATGCTGTAGAATCCGCTGTATCTTGAATCTGGATCAGCAATTCTAAGCATTCTCTGAGAACTGTCCACCTGAACCATGGTGCCTTTCTTGCAGTCCACATACACTAATTGATTATTTAAGCAGGAAGGCTGTTTGGATGAAAACACAATACATAAAATTAGCATTTTGGGTACAGTTATGTTTTTATTCCCTGCTAAAGAGTATGTTCTTAATTGCAAAAGTGAGAGAAAGTCCAGCCACTCAGTCCCACAATATTATTTAGACTCAAAACCAGGAACACAAACATATACTATGTTTTTGTACTGCTCAGGGCTCCATTTGTGGTAAAATTATGCAAATAACAGATAGTTATACTCATCATAATTAACCTCCAGTTATTAGAATGATTCCTACCATAAAGAACATTCTTGGGCAAATGGCTACTGTACCCTCCTGGGCATTGGCAAGTGTCAAGAACGTAAGAAGAGTTCTCTTCAGATCCACAAGCTACCTATTCCTGTGTGTTCAGTCACAGTGACCAACATGATACATTTTGCAAGCCCAGATTGAAGTGACAGTCTCTTCCAACACTGCTTTCCAGTAACCAGTATTGAACACTTCTCTCTGTTTTGGGGGTGGGTGGGTAATAAACAACTATCTATGAATCTTTCTGTCTCCTTTAAAGCCACCCAATAATACAAATGCTATTTAGTCCATTACCTTTGCTGGAGTTCTGTAGCAGGATACTGGTATCCACTGCTTTTTCTGATTGATAAACAAAAGTGCAATTATAAGAACTAGAGCTGTTAAGAGGGGTACGGTTACCCAGGCAAGAGAATCAAGAGATGCTTCTGCAGTTGGCTGTGATCCTCTAGTTTCTCTATATTCACCCTGAAGGTGACCCATATCTGTAAAATGTAAAAATAAGCAAATTAACAATAAAAAAATAATGGAGTAGCTCATTGTGAGATATGATACATAATAACCTGAAAAATTTCCCAAATGATGTGTTCCTAACTAAAAGTAATACTATAAGAAATATTTAGATTCAAGTTAGTTTTACTTAGGTCAAGTACAATTTCAGGTTTGTCAAATCTATTGTGTGCACACAAGAATTTAACACATCACATTTGTTGTACTACTGAATTTGTTTTCAGTATTAGAACTAAACTGACGTTAATTCAGTCTTTATCAAAAGGACATCTTCATTTTTGCAGTATAATGTAAGTGGAAAATGTAATTTTATTAAATTTATATACTGCCCATCTCACAGTGGTTTTATTATTACTTTGGTTAAACAAGTAGGAATTTGAAACTGATGCGAATTTATTCTTGAATACCCTGCCTGTTACATATTTTTCAATCAATCCACTGGAAAATTATATTAGGATTCATACATTCCTGTTGTGCTGTTGGCTTGTTATTTAATATTGATATTGTTTTATATGCATTATCCCTTATTATGGTTGAAGTCCAGTACACAAATAGAATAATACAATAAATAAATAAAAATATAATAGTATTATAACAGTTTAGTACAGGGTGTGTTTCTGTTAGTGGAAATGACATGGCCTAAGACTCAAAATTTAACAATAAAATGGGGATTCAGGACCTTTGTGTTTAAGTAGACAAGCAGTTGTTCAATTGGGGGCAAAATTAATTGAAAATATAGCTCCATGTAGAATTTACACCTTAGAAAAACATGATCTAGGGTTTCAGATTCCACAGAGGCACACGGACTTTGCCTAAGCCTATGGAAATTCCATTATATCTGCCATGCATAACTCAAGAGGGAAGGGCATTGAACTGTGCTTTGGAGAAAGTTCATCAGTTGTGAATGTAAGATTTATATAAATTGCATGCAGGTTGTAGTGCTGTAGATTTGTTGTAGACAATGTATTGTTTTGAATGTTATGTTTTTGCCCTTGTTGATCTTTTATTTTATAATTTTTGTTTTCTCTTGTAAACAGTCCAGAAAGTTGCCTATTTGAAGATATCAATAGGTGGTAATGAAATAATGGGTACATTAAAAAATGAGTTAAATATAACACTTGCTGGGCTTAATCATACAGATTTAATTATTCTTAGCAGAGACCTACCAAAATCACCTGGGCAAATTAATGGCATTAAGCAAATATTGCTAAATTTGGCTCCAGATCAGGAAATTCTAAGAAAGTAACAGAGGAGTTGCCATTATTTATGTTCTGCTTACTTGTGGGCATTTTTGAATCTGGCTTCTAATAAAAATTTTTCCTGAAAAAAATTACATAATCAGAGAAAACTCTTTTCCCTCCTCTTTCTTGCTATCTATATATTGGACTCTCATATCTTTTAAAAGTTTCTACAATAGCCACAATTAATTGACTTGTACAATAAATACATTTCTGCTCTACACAAATGTATTCAGCAGAAAAGTAGCCAATTCATTTAGTCCAAATGCAGTTCTTCAGGCAATTTTTGCAAGCTCTGGAGCCCCTCAAATTGCATTGCTAAAACTTAGCATCAAAAAGCTGACTTAGGCCAATGTAATGCTTCACTTTTTAAAAATAAGAAAAAAATATCTATTAAAGAGAGGTTTGGATGTCTGGAAAACCAAACCAAAACAGCCCATCAACATTTAATGAAGAATTCCTGCCTCTACTTTCCTCTCCCTCTGCAATTACCACATCATGATCGTGTCTCTATCGCTCCTGGAGGCTGCAAAAAGGAAGTTTAAATAATGTGCAATTCCTGGCTACAGAAATGATTCTCTGTCCTATACTAGATTGAAATATAAACAATTGTTGTGAACAGGTATCCTATTCTTCTGCTTCAGACAAGCCATTCTATTAGCAAAGATAAGTTCTGACCACGTGAGCCTTCCTCAGTCTAATGCTGAGAATGTGTTATAGCCTCTCATCTCCAGCCAGCAGAGAACTATAGCTCAACTCATTTAGACAAAACTAAGTTCTTATAGTGAAATTTGGTGTTCCTAAGAGCCTTTCAAAGTACTAAAATTGCCAACATTTATTTATTGAATTTATATTGCCGCCTATTTGCCCATGGTGACTCAAGGTGGCTTACAGAATATAAAATCTCATTTAAAACAATAACACTAATAAAAAGAATCAAATAAATTAATGTAGTATAATATAATAAAATCACCCCACTTCCCACCCCGGTGACAACAGATCATACGTGCCATTTAATGGGTTCCCTAGGTCCACTGGCAGAACCAGGTCTTCAGTGCTTTCCGGAAGAGTATAAGAGTGTGGGCTGTTCATGGTTCTTAAGAAAAAGACAGTCTGAAGCTTACCTAAGTTGTCTATGCAGAGATAATTGATTTAAATGGTGTTTACCTTTATGGATATGAACAACATCATTTTCACTGAATGTAGGCCAGACTGGTGCTTCTAGTTCTTTATCACCTCTATGATTTGTCTTCTCAATTGGAATGTTGGTAGGTTCGGGTACATACATTTCTGCAAAACAATAAGGAATTTATATGAATTTATAGAATTTATAGGAAAGCTAGCTAATCTAGATACCAACACCGTTAACAAGGTGTTAACGAATAAAAGCTATTTAAAATGGACTGTACATTTAATATTAAAAACCTGCAATACATTAATGAGGCAATTTTTAGCTCTCCAGAGGTCTAAGTGTAAATAAGCTGCATAAAATTATAAAGTAAAAGAGGCAGAAAATATGTCCGATAATAGTATTATGAACACCCAGTTCTTATCACTGATAATTAAGAACAGATGGGTTTTTGAATTACTGTGTTTAAAAAAAAAACCATACTTTTTTTGCCACTATAAATAGAACAAAAATATTTGAAAACTATAAAGCCTTGGAATACTGTTTATAAAGATATTTTACTGTTTCCCATGTAACTGCCAAAATACATAAACAGGCAAAAAGGTTGCAACTTGTGATCATGTGACCATAGGATGCTGCAACTGGTCTTAAATACAAGCTGGTTGCCAAGTGCTGAAAATGTGATTATGTGACTGTGGAGATGGTATGGCAGTGTAACCTTGAGGAGGGGTCATAAGTAGCTTTTCTTTGAGTCCATCGTAACTTTGAGCAATTATTAAGTAACTAGTCATAAGCCAAGGACTATCTCTAGACATATTTTTTTGAGATACAAAAAAAAAGTTTCTGAATTGAACTCTTGACTTCAATACTGGATACCCAAAAATCAAACCAGAGCCTTTTATTTAATTCTTCACTTAATGAAAATATATTCTTTTACCTTTCCAAACTTTCCTCTTATCTTGGACAAATGATTATTTAATATCAGAAACAGCCAGAATCTAACTTACCTGGGCACATGGGACAGCAACTTCCCTCCACATTAATTGGTTCCACGCAAGGAAGAGAAGGGCAACTAACTGTGGAACAAAGCGTCTGACCCTGCAAGCAGTAGCAATGAGTGCAGCTATCAATGTCCCAACGTTCTTCATCTGCGTAGGTTTTTCCATTAAAATGACATACTGCCTTCTTTGCTGCTGTGTCTTCTGTTGAAAGAACATGTCATAAAAATGCAATAATTGGAAGAGGGAAAGCCTGGCATTGTGTATCAGGTCTTAAACTTTTCATTTTCATTTGTTTTTAACTTGTCCAGTTGTCCTTTCCTGAAAACATCTGCTTAATCAAAATGAAATAGGCAATAGTAGTATATTTGCAAAAGAAAAAAAGGATCAAGCATTAAGAATAGCAATAACAATAGCACTTAGACTTATATACTGCTTCATAGTGCTTTACAGTCATCTCTAAGCAGTTTACAGAGTCAGCATATTGCTCACAACAATCTGGGTCAGCCTTTTACTGACCTTGGACAGCTGGAAGGCTGAGTCAACCTTGAGCTGGTGAGAATTGAACTGCTGGCAGTTGGCAGAATTAGCCTGAAATACTGCTTTCTAACCACTGTGCCATCACAGATCAAGAATAGAAGAATAATCTTTTATTATGCTCAATTTTTAGAATTTCTGAAACTTTATATTCAATTATTCTTCTTCCATTAATAGATCACCTCCACCTATTATTATATTACAGTTCACACATATCTGGGTTTATATCTAAGCAGAATCTTTGCAACGCTTGATAAAATGAATTCCTAGCTGAAGGGCTTTGAGAATTGCCTTGGAAATAAAATTCAGAATGGATTCCCTTGGGAATTCACATGAATACATTAATAAGGAAAACACAGTGGCAATATGGAGGTATTGCAATAGAGGTGGGTTGGGATGGATTGGAAAGGGCTCATTCAACTAAAATTAACCATGTACAAGTAGAATGTTAACTATATTATAAGCAAACTTATTTTGCATCTAAATTTTATCATTAGATTTCTACTTTAAGAAGTCATTTGGGACACCTAGATCATGCTTGAACTGACAAGGAGCTGCAAGATATGAATGTTGTATTCTGTCACAATAAATGGGAACAAAATTCCCTATTTCATAGCAACTGAGGGAAATATGAGCTGTTTTTCATTTTCAATTGCCTGAACTCTAAACACTTTTTGTTATTTCAGTTTTGCTAGGAGAAAGCCAAAAAGGTATAGGCAGAAAGTCAGAAAGGATGAACCTAGTTAAGCATGTGTATGCATGTGTGTGTGTGTGTGTGTATACACACACACATACACATATATACACATATGCAAATACACACAGCTCACATACACAACATATAGTCACAGGAAAACCCACTTAAGTATGGAAAAATATGCAACCACTGAAGAATTTATGTGATAGCTAATAATTAAAATAAGAAATTAAAAAATTGCCAGCACCACTTGCTACAAAATATGCTAATATTTCATCTAACTGCTGTGATTTTATATTTTTATCCTGACATATTTATTTATTTATTAAATTTACATAAAAATGTGTGTAAGTAACAATGTTTGTATCATGTCATCAAAACACAAGTCTTGTCACTTGCTTTCCCAGATATTCATTAGTTCTTATGGATACAATCTTTGCAGAAAGCAGAAATAAGGATATTCAAGGAATGATTTCACATATAAAGCAATAAATGCAAAACACTGGATATGGCCTGAACCAATATTACTCTAACTGAAATTAACCATGATTTTAGCTGTAGACTGTAGAAAACAACAGTAGTATTATCCTTTCCTCTCCTTTTTGTTAACATTATCTAATGAAACAAAACATACAATCACTCTGCTTCCAAAAAACCTGAAAGGCATAATTGAAAAACAAGCAAAATACAATATCAGATAATGATTTTGCAGTCAAGATATTATATGACACAGGGAGAAGATAGGTAGTAAGACTTCCTTCCTTCCTTTAAGGGTAGATGAAGCCCAAATGTATGATAAATCTACTTTTGCTAAGATTTATTCATTACTTAACAATACCATAACATTACCTATGATGTTTGCCTGTGCTGATACTTAAGTCACAAAGAATAGCACTAGGGTATAATTAATAATTATACTATAGTTTTCAATATATGCATTAAATGTATCACAGATAAAAAATACAATTAAGGCCTAAATTGACAGAGCATCTTAACATTAAATAAGATTGGGGAAAAAGCTCTCTGATCATATCCTTCTCTCCCTTTTCCAGTGCTTACCTATACAGTAAGGACAACATTGCCCTTTCCTCAAAACAGGTTTTTCACAGGATACTGGTGGGCAAGATTCAGAGTAACAGCTGATTCCACCATCCAGGCAAATACAACTGGTACAAACATTTGGTTTCCACGACTCAGCGGTTAAGAAGATATCACCGTCATCATTTTTGCAGTAACTGGGCATGCTCTTATTGGTTGACAAGGACGGCTGAACAGGCTCATCTAAAAACAAAACAAAACACAAAGAGCATAGGAGTTATAGGAAACGGCATGGACATACTTTTTATTTTACATATACATATTTAAATACATATGTAGATGTTCTGAAGAGGAATTGTAAATACTTCTCAGTATAGTATTAGAATGCTTAGTTGTGCAAGGTTTTTGAATACATGGAATGCTGTTAAGAGATCAGAAGTGGAGCTCTATTTTCAATTCCCTGCAGTGCTTATGATTCTGTAATTCCTGAATTGGCCTATTCTTCAAGAAAGCACCAAAGCACTTTGAGCAATATAACTTGGCAGCTAGCAACATCCTTCAGAATATAATTTTTCATTAAAGGTTTCTGCTGAATGGTCCTTTCTCCAGATCAAGCGTAGATCAAGTCACTCCTGGATATTGACAAATCATATTTGGAAAAGGCAGTGTAGCACCAAGAGAACTTATATATGAAGGAAAAATATTCTATTTATTTAGAAATATTTTAAATGTTTCTATTTATTTATGCCTGCCTGTCAGCAAATGATACTTCAGACATTTTTCCTTGAATGCAAAAGGAGCAGGAAAGGACCAAACTATACTTTTGGTTTGTTTTATCAATAGCTGTGAGCTATTTTCCTCTCTTTCCTATGTTTTTGGCCCTCCCTTCAATTTTTGTCTCATTTTCCTGTAGGCTCTGACACCCCCTGGGCAGGAGATAACAAGCAGCCACATCTGCTTAAACAACCCCCAGTTCACTTTTATGAACATATACACACCCCTACTTTGTAATAACACTGTTTTTAAAAATGGTGGGCAGACTCCTATGTTTCATAAGAACAGCCTGTAACACTGAATATTGACAGCTTCTTTTAACTAGAATTGCCGAAGATTGACTGGTGAATTTAACAAGAAACCATTGTGATGCACAGAGGCTGATGAACTGCTTTTGTATTTGTTTAAAGTCTGTGGATAGAAGGAAAGTCTCAAGGCTATTGATGGGAGTTTTCCTTCCTAATGGTTTTGTATTCCCTAAGACTTTAAGAGTAAAAGACCACACTTGTACTGAGATAAAAGAGAACTGTTGCTACACAGGTGTGGGTGGCGGTGGTGGTAGAAAGAGAAAGGAGAGGAAATGCTGTTTCAGTTTACAGCAGAACCTACTGAAGTAGAAGGCTGGTATAAACTAAAAACTGTGTTACTACTGCATTTATGACAAGGAAAAGTGAACAGTTGAGGAAGAAAGGGAAACTTACCACCTTGGTAAGTACTGTCATCTGTCACTTATAAATAAATCTTTAAGCAAAGGGGAGTAAAGAAGTTGTATATATTAGACTTAACATATTAGGAATGTATATTTTATGTAATAATAATCCTACCTTGTTTAAATGCGCAAGGAAAAACATTCAGCCCACATATCAGTCCATGGACCATATTTCTGGTCCATATTTGATACATGAAATATTTTATTAACTTCAATGAACTATCTTTTTAAAAACTAATTCTTCATAGTCATATATATGTAAGAAAAGACAGCTAATGCTCTTAAGAACTGCTGGAAATGCACAATTTATTATTAGTCTTAGATTTTTATCCTGCCTTTTACATGATTTGGCCAACTCAAGGCAGTGAACATATTTAATGCTCTGTCTCTTATATTCCTCACAACAACCCTGTGAGGTGGGTTAGCTGTGAGAGAGTGACTGGCTCCAAATCACTCTTAGGCTTAATAGAGCAGGGGTTGCCAACCTTTTGGACCTCAGGGACCACCAAACTCATAATTTGGGACCACTAACCAGTTCTGTGGGCGTGGCCTAATTTGTGGGTGTGGCTTGGTGGTCATGTGACTGGCCGGGCATGGCTTGTATGTAAATATTATAAATATTTATATAAATATTGATTTTTTTTATAAAAAAGAGCAACTTTTACCCACAATCAGGCAAAGCAGGCAGATTGAGTTGCTCACAGAATCACAGATTCATTCAGAGATCTATCTATCTGCCATTGGCTAGCTCAGTCTGTCACATAAAATTTGCTTGCAAGCAAGCAAACTCATAAAATTTGCTCACAACATACCATGCATGTAAATATTGAATTTTTTATTTTAAAAAAGAGCAACTTTTACCCAAAATCAGGCGAAGCAGGCAGATTGAGTTGCTCACAGAATCATTCAGCGATCTATCTATCTGCCATTGGCTAGCTCAGTCTCTCAAATTTGCTTGCCATGAGTCTGCACTGAATTTGCTTGCAAAGTCCTTCCCTTCAGTCCTAAGGGAAGCAGAGCCAAAGATCTAAAGACTAGCTAGAAAGCAAGAAATCCAACCATTTCCTGCTTCCTAGCTAATCTAAATCTCCCGGCACAGCAGAACAGATGATGGTTGGAAAAAGGAATAATAGCAATTTAGCAGGCAAGTTTACCGGGTAAGGAGTGAGTGGGTGGGGAGGGTTCCCGCGGGCCATGTGGGCTGCTCAGCCTTGTGTTTCTGCGCAGCCTGGATTAATTGCTCTGGGGTTTAATTGCTCTGAGATTTCTCTGCGGCCCACCAAAATTTTCTCACGGGCCACCAGTGGGCCACAGCCCACCAATTGGCGACCACTGTAACAGAGGACTAAAACTCACAACTTTCTAGTTCTAGGCCAGCATCTTAACCACATTAAACTGCCTCTTAATTGAAAACTGATCTGACAGAAAAGAGAAATGGTGGAGTCTTTCTGTGGGATGTGTATGAAAGAGGCAGATGGAATGTGTGGATTAATCCCAAAAGTGAAAAACACTAATACCCAAGAACAGCATTCCAGAGAAATATAATTGATGATTATATTTTCAAAAAGAATTTACACAGGAATAATGAAGGATTTCATCATGTCATTGCTGGACTATGGATGTTTTTAAAGACTTTTCAAATACTATTGATTATACTTATTTTTGAGATGTAATGACAGAGGGCAAATTAAACTGTTTTAACAAATATGCTAAAATAAATTACATGAAGCTAACCTGGACACTGGGGACAACATGAGTCCTGAGTTCGTGTAGGATTTCGACAAAGTAGAGGGGGACAGACTTCGGTTTCACATAAGACTCTTGCATTATGACATGTACACTGGGTACAAGAATCAATATTCCATGTGTCTCCTTCCATAAAATACTCTCCTCCTGGAACATAACAGATGGTTGGACCACTGATTTCTGGCTTCTGTGCAATGGATTCATCTGTGAAAAAATAGAATTCCCCCAAGAAATAGAAAATTAATTGACTTTCCATTAAAATATAGATTCAGATCATTGTAATGGTTTCTAAATCTACTGTAAATGGCTATATTTATAAACTAATCAATTTTAAAACATCCTGGTTCATATCACTATAATAAACAAGTAGTAAATTTAATACAAGCGCTATGAGAATAAAGGCAGACTTTATTTTCAGGATTGCCCACTGAATGTTGTAAGTTACAGCAAGGCATATGGGGATGGAGTAAAGACCTGTTCAGAATTTTCAAATAGATACAATTTCATAAACCGATTACTTGTAAGTATATTGTGATTTCTCTGTGATCCATAGAAGGTATAGTACTTCTGTTCATGTATTTGAGATATAAATCCAACAAACAAAAAGACACCTAGCAAACCAATACTGGATTCTTGCCTGCTTATAACTCCAAAGAGGGCAATTAAAACTAGACATATCATACAATTTCCACATACTTTGTGGAATCTTTCTCACTTGTCTAATATAGTGGACCCCAATTTTTCCAGCTTGGCAATCCAGGGATGGGGGAGGAGAGGGGATGGTTGTGTGCAAGTACTAGTAGGCTGTGATTGGTCTAGTAGGCTGTGATTGGTTTAATCACTGGTTTAATATGTGGCTATAGGAAGGAAATGGAAGTTACACAGTGTTATCTATCTATCTATCTATCTATCTATCTATCTATCTATCTATCTATCTATCTATCTATCTACCTACCTACCTATATTATACAAAGATATGGATTAACCACAAGGTCCAGTTTTATTCCTGATTCACTGATTTCAAACTAATTCTGACCTGCAGTTCAAATCTGATTTAAAAAAGCCCCTTTTTTCCAGTTTGCATAACTAGATGAATGGCTACAGGAATAACTGTATGTTATCTTTATGTTTTTTGGCAATCAGTCTAAATATTTAAGAATATTTAGCTGTTCTTAGACTTTCAAGATTGCATTCTTCTCGAGTGAGAAAGATGAGAAGAGAATATCGATTCCTGACCAAAACGCTATTGAAAAAGGAAGTGAATTATAGATGGCTGATTCCAGAAGGATTAATGTTTACGTGGCAAGAACAGAGACATAGAATTGATTCAATTGAGAAAGCAGAACTTTTCCACGCAGAATTTTTTGGAAGGAGAGAAGAAGAGGCAGAGAAAGAGGTCTCATTAATTGAGTTTCAAGAGGAACAACTGGAGACTGAAAAAGAGGAAGGCGCAGTAGGTGGACAGGTGGATAGTAAAGAACAGCGTGAAGTAAGATCCACGAGAGCTGTTAGACCTAAATATAAAGCATAATCATGGAAGAAAAAAAATTGATTACAATGAATATAAATGGACTCAATTCAGCTGTTAAAAGAAGGAAAATCTTTCATAAATTAGAGAAATTAAAATTTGATATAATTTGTCTACAAGAAGTACATATTAAAAAACAACATGAACAATTGTTAGTACAGCCAAAATTAGGGAAAATATTTACTTCTTTGACTCAATGTAAGAAAAGAGGAGTGGTTCTATACATTAAAGAGGCCACCCCAGCAAAATTGATTTATACTGATGAAGACGGAAGAGTATTAATGGTGGAAATAATGGACAACAATATAAAAATACTCTTGATTGCAATTTATGCTCCGAATGATAAACAAGAAGAATTCTATAAAAAATTACACATGAAAATAACTGGACTGGACTATGTTAATATAATTATGATGGGAGACTTTAATGGAATTGTGGACAATAAACTGGACTATATAGCAACAACAACAAAGCAAAATAGAAAGACTCTCCCTAAATCCTTTTTTAAAATGACAGACGAATTAACCTTAAAAGACATTTGGAGAGAAAGAAATGTTAAAATTAAACAATATACTTTCTATTCAAATAGACATTTATCATGGTCCAGATTGGATATGATTTGGATCTCAACAGAATTAATATCTAATATTCAAGAAACAAATATTGAAACAAGTACTTGGGCAGATCATAGCCCAATGACAATTAAATGGAAGGGACAAAAAAAAAGATCGAGATGAACATTAAACAATACTATCTTAAAGGAAAAAGATTTTACACAATGGATGGAGAAAGAATTGGCTTTTTTCTTTAGAGAAAATAAAAAAGAAGATACTTCAACACAGAATGTTTGGGATACAATGAAGGCATATGCTAGAGGTTTGATAATAGATTATATAAGGAAAAAGAATATTAGAAAAAGGCAAGCCACTAAGGCCTTGGAAGATGAGTATAAATGACTTGAAAAAGAATTACAGAAAACGCCACAGAAAAAGGATATTAAATTGAAGTTGGACATAACTAAACATAAAATGGAATTAATAGAGAAAGAAGAATTGGCACAGAAAATTAGAAATGCTAAACAGAATTATTTTGAAGATGCAAATAAACCAGGTAGATGGCTAGCATATAAATTGAGAAAGGAGAAAGAATCAAGAAAAATATTGAAGTTAATAGATGACCAAGGCCAAGATTGTTATGGTAATAAGGAGAAAAAGGAAATTATTCGAGACTTCTATGGGCAACTATATAAACAAGAGAATATTGATGAGGAAAAAGTCAAACAGTATCTACAGAATGCTAACCTACCTAAGATATCTAAAGAGACTGAAGAAATGCTAGAAAGCAACATAACAATGATGGAACTAACTGAAGCACTTAAGAAACAAAATAATGGGAAAGCACCAGGTCCAGATGGGCTTCCGGCAGAATTCTATAAAACATTACAAGAATCATTGAGCATTCCATTGCTAGAAGTTATGAATGAAGCTATGTCAGAGAAGATGATACCCAAAACACGGTCAGAGGCTTATATTACACTTATTCCAAAAGAAGAGGCTGATCCACTGCAAATTAAGAACTATAGACCTATTTCTTTATTAAATGCAGACTATAAAATCTTTGCTTCAATTTTAGCAGAAAGACTTAAAAAATACTTAAATAATTTTATTCATCCAGACCAAAATGGATTTCTGCCAAAGAGACAAATTAGAGACAATATGAGAGTAATCCTGGATACTTTGGAATACTATGAGGCACACCCTGAAAAGCAAATGGCTTTGATATTCCTAGATGCTCAAAAGGCATTTGATAATGTGAACTGGAGATTTATGTTATTACTATTGGAACAGATGGGTTTTGCCAGAAAATTTATTCAAGCAATAGAAGCCATATACAATAAGCAGACAGCAAAGGTAATGATGGAGGGAGAACTTACAGACTTTATTAATATAAGAAAAGGCACAAGACAAGGATGTCCCCTATCTCCTTTGCTATTTGTATTGACTTTGGAAGTGTTGAATAGAAATATTAGAGATGATAAAAGCATAAAAGGAATGAAAATTAAAAAGGAAGAATTTAAACTGCAAGCCTTTGCTGATGATTTAGCCTTTATTTTGGAAGATCCGTTAGAAACAGCTCCAAAGTTATTGGAAAAGATAGAGATATATGGTGAGGTGGCTGGTTTGAAAATAAATAAAGACAAAACAAAGATTTTGACAAAGAACATGCTACTAAGACAAAGAGAAGAACTGGCAGACCTGTTGAAAATCCAAGTTACGAATAAGGTCAAGTATCGGGATATACTTGACAGCAAGATGTAGCACATTAAAAGAGAATAATTATATTAAACTTAAACAACAGATAGCTTTAGATTTGAAGAAATGGGAAAATTTACAATTGTCATTAATAGGGAGAATTTCAACAATCAAGATGAATATTTTACCCAGAATCCTATTTTTGTTTCAAACAATACCAATTAGGCTCGGAAAAGACTATTTTGAAGATTTAAATAAAATTATGCTGAAGTATATATGGCAAGGTAAGAAAGCGAAAATAAAGCTAAAGCTTTTGCAAGATGCTAGAATTAGAGGAGGTTTTGGCCTGCCCAATTGGGAATTGTACTACCAAGCTGCAAATTTGATGTGGGTCAAGGAATGGATAACATTAAGAAATACTAGATTGTTGACACTAGAAGGTCATGATTTGCTGTTGGGTTGGCACGCTTTTTTATGGTATAAGGGAACTAAAACACAGGCTTATTTTAGAAGACATTATATACGGGAGTCTTTGTGGTTAAACTGGGAGAAGATAAAAAGACAATGTTATTTGAAAATTCCAGTTTGGTTATCGACTATTGAAGCATTTTCCTATCCTATAATATATAAAAAGGAACAAACAGTTAGATATGGGGAACTATTGGATGAAAAGGGTGAACTTAAATCGATACAAAATTTAGAGGAACAAGGTATAAAGATGAATTGGTTTTCATATGCGCAAATACATTCAAGGTATAATGAAGATTCTAAAACAGAGGGATTTTATGATAAACAGACTGATCTAGATAAGATCTTGACAGGTACTGGTGATTAAAAAATTATATGGTTATCTACTGGGAATTAAGTTAGAGGAAGAACAAGTTAAAGAAACTATGATTGTTTGGGGGAAGAATTTTGGATATGGGATTGATCTAGAGAAATGGCAAAAATTGTGGTCTTAAAATTATAAAATGACAATGTCAACAGCATATAAAGAAAATTTGTATAAGATGTTTTACAGGTGGCACTTTCCCCCAACAAAAATAGCAAGAATGTTCAAGAATAAATCTGAAAAATGCTGGAAATGTCATCAGATACCTGGCTCATATTACCATATGTGGTGGACTTGCGAGGACGTTAGAAAATATTGGACTAAAATGTGCATGTGGTTGGAAAAAATGACAAAGAAACGTATAGATTTGAAACCGGAGTTCTTTTTATTGGGAATCTTACCAGATACATACAGTAAAGATTTGAAATATCTGATTGTAAATGTATTAACAGCGGCTAGGATTGTATTTGCTAAAAATTGGAAGAATGAGAAAATACCATCGCAGGAAGAAATTATTAAGAAAATATTGGAATGTGCTGAGATGAGTAGATTGACATTTGAAATTAGAGAGCAAGAGGATAAACAATTTTATGAAATTTGGGATCTTTTCTATCAATGGTTGGATGACAAAATACAATAATAGAATATTTAGAATGTTAGACAGCAAGGAATATCTTTGTTTTTTCTTTCTCTTTTGTTATTTGATATCATATTTATAAAGTGTTTTTAGGATAGATCTGGTATGATTATATGATTTGTTATAGAATAAACTGTTTAAAGTATTGTTATCTCATAAGTATGAATGATCAAAAGTATAGTCAAATGATTTTCTAATAGCGATATTAGGATATATAAGTTTGGATTGACAATATGAGCTATTATGTAATATAACTGTAACTGAGACTACGAAATGAATGCACAAAACTGATGAACCAACCGACACACTGTATGTATATAAGAGAGTTGATGTTTTTATGTATTGTTTGTTTTGTTTGTTTGTAGAAAATGAATAAAATTATTAAAAAAAAAAAGATTGCATTCTTCCCATTCAATTAAATTACTAATGATGTGTATGAAAACTAAAATATTTCTGCCTTTGAAAGCTAAAATTATTATGTTTAGGATGTATAAGATTAGTGCCAAGTGTTAATTTATAAAGTCTATGCAATTAGATGGAAGCAATGCAGGTTTCAACTGGTTTATCTAGCAAGTATCTCAGTCTTTTTTATTTATAAGATCTTTCCTGGCAAGACAAAAAAGAGCAATACAGTTAAGAAGCAGGTTTAAAAAAAATGGTACCTGGGCATGATGGACAACATTGTCCTGGGTGTATTGTTGGATTGCCACAGTTGGGTACAGAACAAGTAATCAATGCACACATCTCCCGTCCATTATGACAATAACAATCACGGCAGCCATCATGCCAACTTTCTTCATTCTCATGACGGTGCCCATCTACTGATAAGCAAGTCCCTACCTTAGCAGGTGGTATTATGGAAGCTGGTATCTCTGTACATGATAAAAACACAATGTTTTAAAATAATTATTTTTAAAAATGACAATTCTTTATATTTATTCTTTATATTAACACCATAGTGAAACTTTGAACCCTATCATGGAGAGCAGATTTTTAGTGAGGACAACATACAAATGTGTAAAATCAAATTAAATGAAACCTAGACAGACATGAAACTATGAAAAAGTTAACAAAACACCTGAGACAGAAGGCAGAAAGTGCTTTTCTCCACAATTCATAGGAAGAAAAACTGAAAAATTTGGGAAGCAAAATAACAACAATAACAATGAAATAATCTTTCCAGTGATGAAACACTTGAAAATAAGTTGTGAAAATAAACTCAAAATATATAATGTGAATTCTTTTGTAAAAGACTGTCTACAGCACTGAGGAATTAACTTGCATATTACAGATATATTAAAACAGTCATGAATTTCTGCAGAAAGTGCCACCACCTTTCTACTTCTAACTTAATATCTAATTCTCAAATATCAAAATTTTAAGTAGTAGAGTGTAGAATTGTTTCTTTCTCTTATTATGGGGAAGACTTATAATCTTTCACGCAGAAAACTACGGCATTTATAATTTTGAGAATGTAGACTTATACAAACTAATATGGAAGTAAACAGCACTAACATACAATTTACCTTTTAGGACTGATTATATTGTAGAATTCATAATTATATGAATATATGAATCACATTCTAAAATTTTATAAACCCTGTTAAAAGGAAGTGTATTCTATTGTAGTAAAATAATTTTAATTTTTTAATTATTTAATTCACAACATATAAATAAATAAGGAAGTGCACTATAAAACAAAGAACTAGCCTTTATTTACAAGAATCCCCTTAGACCCAATGGCATTATAAGCATTATTAAAAACTAACAATACTTGGTAGTTTTATTTTAGTGCTTGTTTGAAAGTATGCCAGCTATCCTGTCAAAGAAAGTTGAAGCCATAGAGTAAAGGCTTTTTAAATAAATTACTTTGTGATTAGCCACATCCCTCCATATAAGCTATTGGGAGAATGCCTATGAGATATTAAACATTGTAAATGCATCCACCAATCTCCAATATTCAAAACTTCAAGATTTTCACTAATATTCCAATTAAATGAATGGATTGTTTAACATAGATTGGAACTGGTTACAAATCACATTATTTTAACTGTATTTGATGTCAAACAATATAAAAAATACATCTGAAATAGTTGCACATACCAGCACATTTGCAGATATTACATCCTTGATTATTTTTCTGGAAGCCCATTGGACAGATCTTCCCACATGAAAGCTCTGGGCATTTCTTACATCGACAGATTTCACATCCGTGTTTGTTCTTGCTAGATAATGAAGATTATTTATATTATTTTTCATAAATAATCATATTTTGTTCTGGAATTATTTGAAAATAAATTTATTTAAGTTGAATAATCCAATTACAACAAAAACCTAGGCCTTATTTTCAGTTCATACACCTGGCTGCCAATATCTATCTAATGTATATTTATCATCAAATTAAATAATAGTTCTTCGGACAGAATTCTGCAACACAAATACAAATCTAAAAGAAGAAGGAACATACAATTGCTCTATTATAAACTTTAAACTTATTCAATTTAATAGAAGCAACCTTAATATGTTTGACTGCTTAATTTTAATTATAATTAATTAGTGCAGTGGTGAGCAAGTGATGAACAGAAGGAAAGCATTTATTGCAGAAAACTTGATATGTAGCTCTTCACTACAAGTAATGAATATTCCCGTTTTCAAATTAAAGTATAATGAAAAGCTTTTCTTAAAAAAAAGCCTGCAGATTCCCCTATACCTATTCTTTATGTTTAAATTACCATATATCTTTACACTGCCCTTCCAATATGAGTTACAGCTACTTAATAATCAAGTATAACATTAAAATGCAATATAACACAACATCCCAATTAAAATGCAGACTTTAAATTAAGTCGCTCAGACAAAAAAAAGGCCTATAATTATAGACTATTAGAGGTTCAAACAAAATAAATCTCTCTCCCTCCAGGTTTCTTCTCTCCTGGGTCAGGTGATACTTTGAACATTTCTGAGCTCAACTGCCAACTTAAACTTCCCTATACATATTAGCTTTTCTACCAGGCTAAACAACAATGAAGAAACCGTATGAAGAAATTAATTATTAGACTTTGGGTATAATCACACTAGAGAGTTCTCACTATATATTAAAGGTAGCAGCAAATCGTAAGAAAGTTTTAGATTCAACTCCTGCACCTCACTTTTAACAATTGTGGCTTATTAACAACTGTCGGAAAAAGATCATAAAACTGGTTCTGGTCATATGATGACCTGCTTTACAACTGTGATGATTTATAATCAAAATTGTGGGGCTAATTACAGTTGTAACTCAAGGACCACCTATATTTATTACTATTTTTATTCTCTAGTAATTTACCTATCCTTCTGAGTAAATAATAGACTAACAGAGTTAGAAGGGACCTCAAATGAGAAAGATTTAGAAAGTCCTAGGATATCCCATTCGCATGTATATTTGTTAGCTGACTGATGGTTTAGCTGTATTGGTGTTTACACTGTATTATTTTGGAGAGAAACTTCCTATCCCTACCAGTGTCTTCAAGGAAAGGGAGAGCTCTATCTCAAAGTAAGAGTCAAGTTTCAAACCAACTTTATTAAGTGAAAAGAGCAATCTGAAGGCCCTTGAATCTCCTAACTCTTCCCTGATGGCATGTTTACATTAAAAACATCATGGTTAAAGAACTATTAATGTTTAATAGTTTGAACGAATAGTTAATATTTTTAAACAATAAATACAATGTCCATAAGTTATAGATAAGTCAGATAAGTGATTTTCCACAATAAGTGATAACTTATCTTGTTTTACTTGCCAATAGATAGTAATTGTTGCTATTGCATACTTTCAATTTTTACACTGAAACAGCTACAATTTCTCCTCTTTAGGGTTAGGCAATAATCACAATGCAAAGTGGTCTCATTCTTCAAATCATTTGAACTATTTGTTTGGAAGGGGTTAGTTTTTTATAGATTTTTACTAGGAAATAGTAACTTAAAAAGGGATAAAGTTAAAAAACTTTTTAAGTAACTTAAAAAGGGATAAATCTCCACATCAGATATTTTATTTTTGAAATTTAAGTCAAAAGAAATGAAATCATGTATTTTTTGTTTTACCTACTTGTATGTTCCTAAATATGCAAACCTCGCTAGACTTGTATGTTCCTAAATAAGCAAATCTCGTTAGACATGGATTTCCTTTTTCTGACTGTAAGGGCTGGACTGTAAATTTCTGCATAATTTTAGCTAACCCCACTACTACTTTAAACTAGATGTGAAAAAAAAGTCACTAATGCTACACCAAAAGTAATATTTCACATGTGATTTATATATTTGTTTTTTAAACTTAGGTCAGATCCAAGTACAAATCTCTTCAATAAGGAATTGGTTTTATTGTATAGATAGTCTTTGGGTTATAATGGTAATTGGGGCTGGAACTGCAATTGCTAAGCAATATGGTCATAAAGCACAATGTCATGTGATCAGGTTGCTTAGCAACAGCATTTTACCATTATTAAGGTACCACAGTTACCACAGTAGTGAGAATCATGTGTTATTAAGTGAGGACCTTGTGTGACCATGACTGCTGACTTCCTATTGAAGACTTCTCCATTGACTATGTTTGTGAGAAGTTGTTAGGGAATATTGGAAATTGTGATCAAATGACCATAGCTTACATTGTCGCTGTGAGCTGGGCATATCTGAGAACCAAGTGTACTGAAAGAAACCCTCTGGTTTTTATCTGCATTATAATGCATGGTTTAATTGTTGTATTTGTTTTAACTGATTATTTAGGGGAGCTATAGGCTGTTCAGAGTCTGTTATTTGGAAAACTTACAAAGCCTTGTGAATAAATAAAATTCCTTATTTAGATTTCCAGAATTCAAAAGAGTTTGGTAAACATGGCAACAAATACAAACTATAAGCAATTTAAGTAATATATATCCTACACGCAATAGTAGCCATTATTACTAGTACTAGCCTCCTACAATCTTGTCAGGCTACAGTTCTCTGTATTTTATTTTCCCTCATTAGTAATTTCCTTCAGCTTTTATTTAAACTTTCAGCTGCAACTGTTGCTTTATCCACTAGATGGGGTACTAGTATAAAATCTGACTAAGAAAAAAATGTTCATGTTCAATTTTGCCTTGGTTGTGAACATTTTCTTAAGAGTAATAAGTAGTTAGCCCCTATACTTAATGGAACAGAGTAAGGAATGAGCCTTTACTTTTACATGGAACTACTAGTTTTACAAGTGTGATGTCACTCTTAACATTGCTTATATTTTTCATTTTTGGAGGAATCATTGTCATCTCTTTTATTCTTTATCTTGTCTAAATTTGGATAAATAAAAATGGTAAGCTTCAGAAGAAGGTGGAGCCTCCTCGCTGACGGACTATAGATCGTGACTCTCTGCGACTATGGTCCATGCTCTTTCGTTGGAGAGCCCCGATCATTACAATTAGGGGCTGAAGCTGCCTTGGAGGGGTGGCGGAGTAAGAGGAAGCCGCAAGCCAGGTTAAGGGGAGCCACATCTCCCCCCCTGGCCTTGGTCTTTTCCCCCCCGAAGATGACTGCAGCGGTGGTTTAAAATGGCCACCCCAAAGAGGAGGATTCATCTGGATTAAGATTTGTGCAGGAGGGAAGAAAGAGGTGGATAACATCGGAACCGGGATAACTGGGCAATACAACTAAACAAAAGTACCACGGGATTAAGGTAACATGGAATTTTTAAAAGAAAAGAAAAGTGAGCGGTGAAATTACAAAGGGACAGGAAAAAAAAAAGAAAATATTTTTGACAGCTAAGCGGGGCTTCGAACCGGGAAAGGAAGAAGCTGGAACTAAAGATTTAACTAAATTGGACTAAAATATTTTGGGAATAAACAGGTATAAAATAAAGCTGGACTTAAGATTGTCAAAAAATAATAATAATAAAGTTTACAAATTGGAGACTGGACTGTGCTGGAATATTGAGGTTCGAAAAACCCTAAATAAAAAAAATAGGGAAAAAAGGTGAAGACTTTGTATAATGGAGAGTGCTACCTTTTGACAAAAGCTTGAGCTCAAACAAAAGGGAATGCATCCTGTTTCTGAATGAACTTGTGTGGATATAACATTAAAGAAATATTGAAACAAAGTAAGAATCTTAGAAAGTGAAAGCAGAACCAGAATAAAGAAAAAAGCAAGGAAAGACTGACTGTGGGATTGATTGATGTTTTTGGTATAGACTCTCGCCTGGAATAACTGATAATTAGAAAATTAAAAGAAGAAAGAAGGAAAGTAAAAGTGTTTTTTTGTGGACTTTAATGATCATAAAATATAAGAGTGTGTAATGATGATATCTCTTCGGGAATTAAAAATGGAACTTAAAAATATGAGAGAATTACTACAGGAAAGAGGCGAATCACTTTGCTCTGTGTTAGAAAAAATGGAAATGGCGATTGAAGAAGAAGAAGAAGAAAGAGCTTCAGAGGAGGAGGAGTCGATTCAAGGAGAAGACATTTTAAATAGACAATTAACACAAAGAACACTACAAAGAAGTGGGGAAAGAAGGAAGGTTAAAAAGTTGAGATTTAAGAAGGCAATCAAAAGGGGGAATACCTGTGAAGTCAGGAAAGGCAGAAAGACCCAGCAGAAAAGGGGAAAGGAAGATATTAAGAAAGAGAGGAATATAAACTGGAATGAGAAAAGATATGGGGAAAAGAGGGGGAGGAGAAGCAGTAAGAAACAGGTGCATGAAATAAAGAAATACAGAAATAGTAAAATGTTGAAAAGAAATGGTTTTTTCAGAGATAATGGTTGATGAATTAAAAAGGGGATTCTGCAGGGTGACAAGGGGTAATAAGAATATTTCTGCAATTAAAATATTTAGAAAATAGGGTAATATAGATACTGATAACTCTTATTAAAAATCAAGGGGGGAAAATATGCTGCGGAATCCAAATGAAAAGATGTAATGATTATTATTGTAACTTCTTAAAAATAATAGTTTATTGGGAATCAAGGTGAGAGAATAAAGGTATATTTTAATCATTGAGGTGTCACACTCAAAACAGTAAAAGGGGGGAAACCTATACTTGTTTTTTTTTTTTAGTGTTAAAATTTGTATTAATCTAGAATTTATAAAAAGAATGGAAAGGGAATATGACAGACTAAAGAACCAACTAAATTAATAAGTTAATATAGACTATTAAAAGCAAGGAGAGACATTGGTAACTTTTTTTTATTATCATCATCATCATCATCATCATTAGGCAAATACATA